AGAGAGAGAGAGAGAGAGAGAGAGGGAGAGAGAGAGAGAGAGAGAGAGAGAGAGAGAGAGAGAGAGAGAGACTGCAGTAAGGAAAGAGCAGGGAGTGATGGGCTGATGGACTGGTGGAAGCTGGAGAGCAGAGCGCAAGTAGCGGTGGCGGCAGCGCAAGGAGTAGAGGGAGGCGAAGGCGTCCGTAGTGGTGGTGATGGGCGGAGAAGGAGGAAGAGGAGGAGGGAGTAGCAAGGGATGGCAGGAGACGGGGGTGGGGGCACGGAGGCGCGATGCGCGCAGGCGGCGGCGGGCACGAGCCCCGCGCCTGGAGGAGGAGGAGCCAGCCTGGGGAGGAGGGCTAGCGAGGTTCCTGGGAATGCGAGGACCCCACCCCCTCACCCCAATTCGTGCCAAACGACCGACGCCCTCCTGGCACCCGCAGAAACGCAGCTCAGGGAGGCTCGGGGCGCCCCAGTGCGCCCAGGAGCTCTGCTGCTGGCGCCCACGCCGCGCAGGAGGACCAGAGCTCAACCCCGGCCACCAGCTTCTCTCGGGAGGCTCTGGCGCTTCCTAGGGATGGGTGGGGGCTGCTGGTGAGTGTGGGTGTGCAATCAGGAACGTGTGTCTCTTCGAGGCTCTAGATACCGGTGGGATGATGCCGCTGGTCCTCCAACACCATCCCTGGAGGAGGAAAGATGTGGCTGCCTGGAAGAGGTAACGATGTAAGGCTCCCACTGGAGGGCGAAGGGGCTAATCACGCCTTTACTTAGTCATCAGCGCATCCACGCAGGACCAAGTTAAACGCACGCTGCGTGGAATCACACAGCAGGAAGTTTCTTTGATTTCCGAAGCCCTCTGCATTCCAGCTATCAGGGCCAATTTCCCCACAATGCTGTTAGGGCTGGAGATTTACCCCAGCTGGTCAGTGAAGTCCTGTGCAGCTCCTACACTTTAGGAACCCTCCTGCCTACTTTCAGCAATCATTTTCCCCAGCCCCTTTTGCCAGGCATTCTCCTTACCAGGTGATCAGACTCATTCTAACAGCTCTAAAAAGTTTACATTAACCCCAAGCAAAGGGACCTGCCTTGCTTTTGCCGCCTCTTCAGGGCTTTTCACAGAAGCCATCTAGCAGGGTTTGAGGTTTCCCCCTTTAGGGCTTTTTCCTGGCAGAGCTTTGTAATTCCAACCCCATCATACACTTTGAGCATTCTGTGTTTGATCTGATTGATTTCTCGTCTATTTTATCCGGGGCGATTTAATCTAAACGTGCAAGTTGAACAAAAAAGAGAAGGGGAGAAAAAGAGACGTTTTCCTTTGTAATGCACATGAAATAGAATATTGTGCATATTCTACTCAGGCAAGTCAGAGCTGGTGTTTATCTTTTTCCAGAAGTTGTTACAAGCATTAGACGAGAGAGAGAGAGAGAGAGAGAGAGAGAGAGAGAGAGACAGAGAGAGAGACAGAGACAGAGAGAGAGAGAGAGACAGAGAGAGAGAGAGAGAGAGAGAGATCTGTTGTTTCTGTTATTTTACATTCAGAGTCAATATATGTCAAAAACTTCAATTTTGTTAGTTGGGCACCAAAAAATTCAAATGTTTTCACAGATGGTGCAGTTTTCCTAACAGGCAGTGCTAATCTACAGTAAATTTTAGCTTTGCTTTGAAGATAAAGGAAGGCATGTAAAGCCTTTACAATATAAATATGTCAAGCTATCCCTTTTAACGTGTTA